GCACATTTAGCTCCGTATCTTCGAAATGGCTAGGCTTGCCTTTGCCAAAAGCTAATAAACACTTCTCCAAATCATTACTAATTGAATGTTTTTTAATCGGATGCTCAGTTCTCTCAAAAACTCGATTTCTATTTTCTGCACTCTTTGCTCTTTATCTCCGTAACTGCCGGACCTGCCTTTAATAGGAATCGAATGTTTTTTGAACCATTTAAATCGGGTGATCCGTGCGCCCAAAAACGTGGACTAAAAATTGTATCCATACATACATACACACACACATCCATTTTTTCTGAGGTATGCCAAAATGTTCAGAAACCTTCAAAACGTCGAGAAATGTAAAAAAATTTCAATTTCGATTTTCGGCCCATTACAATAACTTACCCTACGGGAAGTTAATAAAGCTTAGTCATTGGTGCAAAATTATTAGAAATTAAAAAAAAATCAAATATTTGCTGAATTTAAAAACCAATGACGCGAATGTATTTTTTAATTCAAATCTAAATATTTTAAGTCAGCTCATATAGACTAAACAAATAATAGAAACTTTAGAAAATCGGAAAGCTACCAATGGGAAAACAATATCATCATTGAAAAGTAAACAAATAAAATTCTGTGAAAATTGCATCGGGCAAAGTGAATTTATTAAATAAAAAAGCTTTTATAGTACAAATCAAAGGAAATCAAATAAACTTTCACATAGTGATTAAGCACAATAAACTCTTCTTTAAAGAAGTTTGCTTTACTATTTATGGGTTCCATAAAGCCTTTAAATAAAATTTGTGAAATGATATAATTTTGGTTACGATTTCGATGGAAATTTCTTAAAAACCAGTATCAACAAACATATTGACCATCTGATTAATTTGCCAAAATTCAGTGCATTTTCCTCAAAAATATTTTATATTTGCGTTGTTCTGCCGAAAAGTTTGATTAACATTTTTGATAAATCTAAATTAATAGATTTTTGTACAAAAATTTTAGAGATAGAAAAATTCTCAAATATTTGAGGAACTTTAAAATCAACTTGCACGATTATATGTCTTAATTTAAAGCATACAAACTAACATGATTCAATACTTAACCTGAACGAATAACAAAAATGTTAAAAATTCAGGATTTCTGAAACAAAAGCAGCATTATTGGAAAACAATAAATAAATATTGAGAAAATGTAGAAATCATAAAGATGTCTTCAATAATTGCACCAAGAAAAGACATGAATCCTTGGTAAGTAAGAAGTAGATTATGGAGACAAACTATTCTTCGAACACAAAATCTTCCATAATACAAACTTAAGGATACTCTACTGAAAATCTTTAAGGCTTCCGTAATCATCGTTTCAAAACAGTGGCCTCACAAAGGAATTATTAAGTCAGTCACTCATTTATAATTCAATTCATTTCACGATCAGTTGCTATGAGTAATTAAGCATTTAACAAGACTAGAAATAATAAATGTCGGGTGCCACAGATCTTAAACAACGACAATTTAAAATCAAGCGAACACGATTAAAATCTTAATTAAATATAGTGTTTCATCATTGCGAATGCAGAGTTTTAATTGCCCGAGAATGATATAACTGTAAATTAGATATATATATATATATATACTATTTGACTTTCTAGTTTTCATTAAGATTTAAATTTTCATGTAGATTTGATCCTTATATCACCATGCTAAAAACTAAAAAAACATACAACATTTTATACAAATTACATACATACATTTAATTTTTTTATACATGCTGCCTACAAAAATCAAGGAAGCATAACGAAATTATATTGTAAAGATTTACAGTTTCACGTAATGGATTAATCGCCAAATAAGCTGCTTATTTAAAAACTTTAACAGGCTTTTTATGTTATGGTGCAATAATTCTCAAGAGATGGTAATCAATCAGATGTTTTTCAGCAATTAATTAATAAGTCATAATTAAATAAACACAAAGCAAAGCTGGTAATTATACGATTTTCAAAATATGGCTAGTAAATGTATGTAAATAAAGATATAAAACCGTGATATTATATTTTTTCATAGAAGAATCAAACTTATATTTCTTTAAAATTTAGAAGATACATTGCATTGGAACTTATATTTGCTGATATTACGATTTCTAAGAAAAGTATATATAAGAGTTATTATTATAATTGAATAACAACAGTCTTGACTTGAACAATCTAGCAGAACTAGTAATTATTGCCTGCATAATTTTATTGCATACTGCTAATTATAGTTTCAACACATTATAATTTATTTAAAGAGAATATAACCAGAATGAATTTTGCGGAGATTTATATAAATAAAAAGGGTATTATATACATATTTACATATACACAAATGTATATATACAGTAGAACCCCGTTAAGACGATAATATTAATACTATTTCCACTTTAATACCAGCGCCACTTTGCACTGTAAAAAATATCCTGCACAATACGCTTTCTCCTTTAAGAATCATTTTTATCGGCTCCTGGAAAATCGTCTTAACGGAGTTTTACAGGATATATATATATATATATATATATAATATAATATAATATATATATATATATATATATATAATATAATATAATATATATATATATATATATAATATAATATATATATATATATATATATATATATATATTATATTATATATATTCTAGAGGATTTACTTATATATAATATATAAGTAAAATCCTCTAGAATACAAGACCGAAAGAAAAGGAAAAGAAAATTGGCGAAATAAACCATATAATAAAATCAAGAAACAAAATGCAGATCTACAGCAAAACTTAAAAATAAATATAAAATTGAATCATGTTGAAATATTTTCCAAATAAATATAGTATGACTGAATTCTTTGATGTACTGAACTAGGTAAAAAAGCTCAAGCTCAAGGATTATCCTTGAATCAGAACTTAACAAGAATATGATCATTTATTTTTTACATTTTTTCTCTTATTGACAAAAATAGTATAAATTCGAAAAAATCTGAAATAGTTTTTTAACAATACAAATAAAATACAGACGAATTTAACAAATTCAAATGGATATAGGCACTGTAATGATAAAGGCAAATATCAAATGTTTCACAATATCCTAGTAAAAAAAAGTCTGATGAATTATCTTTTGATCAACGTCCATAATAGAGAAATGATATTGTATCTCTACATTTTTCTACTTAAGACAAAAATATAATAGTAAGAATATGAACAAATTTGAAACAATTTTGCAAATATAATATTGATGTAGAAAATGTGAAGAATAATGGAAAAAGTTTACGATATCCCTGTAAAAAAACATATTTAACAAATTATACCACAGATAAGGATTATCCTTTGAATTTGATCAAGATAATAAGTATTTTTGTTAAATACACAAAATCATATATTATCTTTTACATTTTGCTACTTAAGACAAAAATAGTAAGAATACGAGAAAATCTTAAACAATTCTGCAAAAGCATAAGTAAAATATTGACGTAGAAAATTACAAATTGATTTGGGTATAAATATTTACGATGTGAAGAACAATGAATAAGTGTTTAGAAAATTATTTAACAGATTGCAGACAAGGATTATTGTTTGATCAAAGCTTAATACATTAAATAACTGAAATATCATCTTATACATTTTTATGCTGAAGACGAAAATAGTAAGATTATGAAAAAATCAGAAATAATTCAGATAAAATGCAGATGAAAATCTTAAACAATTGAAATTGAAAAGTGTTTACAAAATCCTAGTAAAAAAAATTATCTCACATAGTATCCCATAGATAAAATAATCCTTTGATCTTAACAATTCAAGTAATAACAAAATCATATTTCGTCTGTTACATTTTTTTAAACTCAAGAGGAAAGAAATATTAAGAAAATGAAAAAATCTGAAGCATTTTTGCAACAACAAAAACAAAATTTATACACACAAAATTGTAAATAATATTGTGTCTAAACAACAAAATAATGCATGCAACAACTGATATTTTTAAATTAATGATTGCGATGCAAATGTGTTGTAAGATTATGTTTGATTATCAAGAACACGCAACCTGGAATTAAAGCATGTAATGAAAGTAAAGATATCATAAACAAACAACTAAAAGTTCCTTACCTGCGGCATTCTATTGAGTCAATATTGGTATTACTTCATCGAAACCAAATTACCAACGAGTCGGTTTTGCTTTCAGGAAGAAAGCACATATTGAGATTTTAAAGAAAGTTTGAATTGTTTTCACTTTTCAAAACACTTAACTCGCGAACTTTTCAAGAGCATAAAAAAATGTAAGCACTCCCGCCGAGCATAACAGATAACTTTCATATAATAGTAATGAAAACTTTATAAACAAACTTATAAATCTTATAAACACAAACTTAACACAATAATAAATTAATAGTACAAAATAAAATCAACTAACTTATTCTTTAGAATAAGGTGTAGTGACGTAATATTTTTTAAAATTATTTTTTAGTAATTTTTACTACTTTTATATACATTATTTAATTTATTTATATAAAAAATACAGGAGCTATTAACACACAGCCGTCAGGACGCGGCCATATGCACTTTTGACTGTCACGTGACAACTGAGTGTCAAGTGAAGTCGTTTTGAATGCTTTGTAGAATAGCGCCACAAGCGGAAAAAGCTGCAACTATGAAATATATACATATGAAAAATAAATTCATATATATGTATATGATTTTCAAAAATATTAAGTGAAAAACATATTGCAATATATCAATATATTTCATTTATATTTATATTTTTTTTAATAACGACTGAACCGTTATTATCAGTATAACGGCGTTAGTGTTTTAATAAAGAAGGAAGTAATTAACTGATCGGCGTGAAGTTGTACATTTATAACCAAGGTAATCTAATTATTTATATATTTTATTGCTGAATAAACTGTCGGCATAATTTGATTTATAGTACTACAAATAAAAGTATATAACTCTAATAACATTGCTAAACCGTAGAGCCACCTATTATAATATTGTAGATTCCATTACTCCATTACTCCCATGATAGTCCAGTCATTTGGTCATTTTGCCGGTACAGTACTCCGGGAATTCTGAAAATTGGTAATCTTATAGATTTCGAGGTGCTCTTTACGAAAATCAACTTTGCCACCTCAAATTTGAACGGCAAGTTGCCGCCATATTGAAAAAATGGCGTCAAAAAAATAGCTTTTTTAAAAATATCTCCTTTCTGGCTCATTCTACAAAAAAAGTATCTATGTACAAATTAAACTAGACAAAAATTCCTACAATTCTTTAAAAAACCGTTTTTTTTGTAAAATTGATAGTTTGAGAGTATGGCCGCCTCAAAGTCTTTGCTGCTCTCGCCGTACTATCAAATCTGTCCATACATGACAGCACTTTGAACTTGACCACATTCCTTCTAATAAATAAATATTTTCAATGTTAAATTAAGCGAATAAGATCTAGAAATAAATTAATTCAAATATTTTTCTGTTTTTTGGTGATTTTTTAACGCTAATGAATATGGAAGTAATTAACTGACCGGCGTGAAGTTGTACATATATAACTAATGTAATCTAATTATTTATATATTTTTATTTGTTTAATTAATTGGCGGCATAATTTGATTTTTAGTACTACAAATAAAAGTATGTAAGTCTAATAACATTGCTAAATCGTAGAGCCACCTATTATAATATTGTTGACTCCATTACTCCACTACTCCCATTATATCGACTTCTTCATACCTGTTCATACTTCTCAATTATGCTAGAAAATTATGTTTTTCAATTCAAAGAATCCATCCTTGTCCATGTGAATTCTTCTTGATAAGTAACGTATATAATCCAATATAATAGATTCAATAATCCAAAACTAGCAGGAAATAAAACTCTTGCCATCCGATCTATCATGGACACACTATTTACTTGGCGAATGGTTCCGTTAGCTAAAATATAAAATGAGAATGCCGACTAAAGGTTTGAAGATTTAATATGACATATGATTAGTTAAATTATTTATTTACAAATTTGATGTAAAGTATATTATGATAAAAAATGCTGTGTCATTTCTAGATTATAGTTAATTCATGTAGTTAGTTTTTGTGTTTCTTTACATTATATTTTTGTACTTGCAATAGTGATAATCAAAGTAAAACAAAAGGATTTCACTGTAGCTTCTTATAGTTAGTATACTTATATTAATTTTAATTTAAAATCCATTGCTTCTCATAACACTAATTGGCACTAACACACTGTATGTTTCAACACAGCTTAGGTAAAATATTATTTATCGTGTAAAATGCAAAATTTTGCTTGCGTTATTAAAATATTGCTTGGACCACAGGAAATATGGTATTATATTATGTGTATATGAGTTATTGTATTATATTCAATCTAAATATACAAAACTCAAGCCAACCAGCTGAGTAAAAATTTTCATTTCATTAAAAGTTTAGTAATTAGTTTGTTCATTATATCAATAATTTACCTCCTCTTTCCTTCTTGCAACTCGAAGCCTCCCTCTGTCTCTGTCGCCTGAACTCATCATTTCCAAGAAGGCAATATATTAATTGTTTCCAGCGAGGAATTGCTTTCTCAGTTTGAGTCGTTCGCTCTACTGTAATTTGTGTACTTGTAGCACTTATCGAGAGAGGACTGCAACTTCTTTTATGCCTGCACGATGGAGGTGTTTTTCTGTGAATTGTTCCATAAGTGATTGCTGGATCCTGCAGGAATTGGATTATTTAATATACAGAAACATTAATAATAATTTATGTATATCTTCATATGTTTCAGATCTTTCACATATTTAAATATGGCAATTGGAATATAATAATTTAACAGTGTAAGATTATACTACATTGTGGAAATTTATTTCAGCACAGTAATTGCAAGACTATATTTGAAATCATATAGTGATGACAATTATTTAGGAAATAATTTTCAACTATCTAATCTTGTTAGTAATGTATTAGCTAAGAAATAGATACTTCAAGATCTCTATCACAATTCTGTCTACTAAAATAAATTTGTAAATTTACTTACATTATAAATTGGACAAATAATTGAGCATTTGCGCCTAACTGATATTTGCTTTTCTTCGGGAACTCCAAGTGCACTAACATCCTTCGAAGAAGTCACAGTTTCCCATTCATCATCTTCGCTTTGCATGATTTCACCACTACCGACCTTTGAGAAGTATTTTTAATTATTAATACATACATACTAAATTATAAAAATATAATTACAAATAAGAGTAAATAAATAAATAAAAAAATTTATCATTCACCATAAATATCATATTTTTTGTAGAGTTCCAGAAATATCTATAATATTTTCGAAAGATTGAATTAAATTGCCAAAAGTTAAATATATATATATATATATAATATATATATATAATTTCAAAAAAAAATCTATTTTACAAAACTATGTACTTATAAAAAAAGTATTTGCAGTTTAAATTGCTTTTAAGAACAGAATAAAGAGAAATAGATAATGTAGATAATATTACAAAAAATTATACTTTGCAAAGACAATGTTGTCTAAAAATGGACTTCATCTTTTATATATGGAATTTAGAATTCATACGTTTCGGCCATAATCATAGACTTGAAAAATTAGCTTATCCTAATATTAAAAAATAGAAATATTAATAATCTATGGTGATATTACACAAATTTAATGTTATACAGAGTAGTATTATTTATATCATATCCTCTTATACCAAGGATTATCCTTATTTTTATTTTTAATAATAGACCAAATATATGAGTTTTAAATAAAAATTTAAATGACTCTACTTGATAATATAGGGTCCGCCAACTAGCTTTTTTTGAAAAATTCCCTAAAAAATCTACTGAATATTTTGCCAATTTTCTTTTTGTTTGAAAATTCTATTAAAAAACCACCAAATATTTTCACTTTTTTTATTTGAAAGTGAAATGTAAAGAGTGCAGAGTACACAGTAGGGTTGCTTAAGTCGTACCCCCTAAAAAAAAAGTTATTTGGCGGATGCTATATCTTATGCTAATATCAAATACAAAATTATACAATAAATAACGTATTAACCATTTAAGGCCCTCTCCATAAATTCGTATCGTATTTATATCGTATTTACCAAATATTATATATACATTGTAGGACTTATCAGTACAACAAGTAAATTTGTTGAAGACACTGCGGCTATTATATCTTTGCGAGTATCGGCTATCCAATACGAATTGTTGTTTTATGATGATAACACACTACTTGGAGACAGATAATATTTCTACGCCACAACTTGAAATTACAGGTGTTATAGTTTTACTTGAAATGCCGTGATTAGTTTTTGAAAATTGTGATTAAACTTGTATTTATTTCATGTTTAGTTACGGCAAGTGGGCGACACTTATGATGGCTGAAAACGATCCTCTTTTAAATGCAATTTCTGGTGACCCTTATAGGACTATTGAAAGAAATGGAAATAATGTGAGTTAATGGTATATTTATCATTTTATTTCGATTTACTTTTTGTTTTCATATTATTTCCGGGTTTGATGAGAAATCTAGATTGACTAGTGATAAGGTGAATATCCAACATAATTTCCAATTTGCATATTTTACTTTGAAACTACAATGAAACATAAAATGAATTTAATTTAAATCACGCTGAGACCAATTAACAATTTAAAAAATAAATAATTTCTAATTTAAAATAAATATCTATGAAATATTGCATATATAAGTATGTTCTTATTATAGGCCGAAGGCGAAACGGAAACTTATATAAGCTACGTTGGAAAACTATCACTTAATATAATATTACACACGTTAATATTAGGTTTCACAGTTTTTATTATAAGTTTAGGATTCGCTGATCCTCTCAGATTATTTACGTTTCATCCTATCTGCATGACGACAGGGGTAAGTTTCTGGTTAAATAGTTAAATACATTGTGCATAATACAAAAATGAGTTTTGTTTTCAGTTTTTCTTCTTCACAACGAATGCAATTTTTACGCAGTCCAAGTATAATATCGTTAGTTTCCGATTTCATCATCAAAATCGTATAACTTTACATTGGGTGCTTCAAGGAGCTTCTGTAATACTGATGACTATTGGATTTATTCTTGTAATACTGACTGTTAATCAGCAAGGAGCGCCGCATTTTTTTACGAACCACAGTAAGAAAAAAATTAAATATATACTGGTCAAATATTTTTGCCCGGTCTTATAATAGTTATAATTTAAAATAATATGTCTTTATTCTAGGTATAGTTGGCCTAACTGCCTACATTTTAATGTGCGTTTCTTCCCTCGGAGGCGTAGCAACTTTGTACAAACACCGATTTCGAGAATGGTTCACAGCCCGTGCTTTTAAAATTGCCCATTCTTCATTTGGAATAATTACGTACACCATGGGAACAGCAGCTTTATGTTTAGCTTTATTTACACATTATTTTGAAAAGTACAACGGATCAGGAAGTGTAGGAACTTGCCTTATTGTGATATTATCGGTCTGGGCTTACGCGATGTTTAGACCGCTTAGTAACCTCAAATCCAGATTAGGATTTTAGAAATATGAAACCTGTATCAATAAATAAATTTATAATATTAAAGTTGTATGTTTTTATTAGATTTACATTGGTCAATAAATTATAATTTTCGAATTTAAATTTGTACGTTTTTATCTACATATACTCGTATATAAAAATAAGTCGGGTTTTCCTTCCTGACGATTTAACTTCAGAATGCACGCACCGATTTCGACAATTTTGCATTTGTTCGAAAAGTCTCGGTCTCCGCAAGGGTTATAGCTAAGAAAATTAGTGGTGCATGACATCGCGCCCTAACAAGTCGCAAGGCCAATAGATTAGTGTTTGCGGGATAAATTTCAAATAGATTATTTATAAAATCATTGTTTTTCACATGGGCAGTTATACGTTGCCTGTTCACGAGTTGGAAAACCATCCGCTTTGTTTGTGTTAACGTCAGATCAAAAAACAAAAAATGTGGCTTACCAAAGAGCACTTCAATAAAACGGATAATTGCGGATTCACTTTCATTTACTTAGAGAAGTTCAACTAAAAAACACTTCATTTTTGGAATCGAAATATATTCATTACTGTTGAATGATAAAATCAAATTTTTCCTTTTCAAATATAAAACAAACAAAAAATTTCTTTATCTTTCTCACGAAACCATCTAGTGGCGAAACGGAGTTCGTCGGGTTTGCTAGTATTAATATATAAATTGGAGCCATGCAATGCGCAAAGTTAAGTACTCAGTTGGCTTTGCTTTATAAATAAAATCGTTCTCATTAGAAATTATTAGCCTGTCATTTTGTGTTTTCAACAAACTTATTTTTACTTTTAAATTACACCATACGTACCTATTTATACAGAGTCATAAAATTTTTAACATCGCCTAAAGAAGAATAAAAAAATTGGTTTAAAAGGATTTCGGAAATCGAATGATGTACAAGCTGATGTTCTGTAAACACAATGTGCAATATTCGTGGATACCATTAAGTGACAGTTATTTTCGAACATCAAGTTGCCACAGCATTGACAAACCATCATCGCATACAAATTCAAGGGGCATTCTAAAATAGTTTTAATATTTTAGAAAAAAGTAAACTAAAAATACTTTAGAAAGAATTAAAAAACTGAGACGCGTTTGATTGCATTTGTTTTGTCAATCAATCAAACTAATTATTAATTTTTCGTGCGTTAATGTTGGAATTTTGGAACTTAGAAAAAGATATTATAAATGATGTCGATCTGCAGCCCGTCGTCGGCCAGCAACAGCACAGAGGCCCAAATGTGCAAAGGCGACCTCACGGTCATGGTAATGTCCGCTGTCAACTATATTCTAATAATATTATTCGCGGCATATATCACATATATCGCATTCGCGTACGAAGAAAACTACGTATTTTCGGCACATCCATTCTGCATGACAGTGGGGGTGAGTTTT